TTCTGTAAATATTTTTAAAATTCATAAAAATTTATGGAATTAGTAGAATTGAATAGAAAGTTATTTTCGTGAAGGGTTTGTTTTGTAAAGAAAAGAAATAGTTAACATTTTCGTCGATAGAGGACATCAATCACGCATGCCAAGGAAAACTATATTTATTTTCTTGCAGGCAAATCTTTATAAGCATATCACTCTCATTTTCTGTGTCCGCCGACGCCATAAATTACACTTTGCAATCGAGTTACAGCACCATTAACTGCAGCATAAGAGATTTTGTGACGAATGACGTTCTTTAACTGTGCCAAACATGATGGACAACTGCGGTGCAGTATGGGTTTGACATAACTCCAAAGCCAAAAATAAAGTGCCTTTATGACCGGCGAGCGAGGAGGAGACTCATTCCTACAATGGATCATTCTGCGGTGAAAGTTCTTCTTAGGAATGTTTTGACTTCGGTTCTGATATGAGGATGTGCCCCGTCTTGTATGAACGTCGTGAATTTGTGTAGAGGGCCTTATGTTCCAGTAAGTGCGGTATCGGTTTCTCCTGCAAAGTAGCGTTTTCCAGTAATTGTGCAGGTCTCCAGCCAGCTTTTGCACAGCGCTCTTCAAAGACAAAAGGGTCTGCAATAAATGGACGCGGTGAAACAACACTAAATAAATAAAAGCGGTAAAAATAAGGATTCCTCAATATAAGCACGTGGGTTCTCCTTTGCGAAGATTCTACAGTTATGGATGTTGACTGTTCCATGCAAGGAAAAATGAGTCTCACCTGGTCTGAAGGTACTGAGAACCCATTGTGGATCGTCATTGATTTTCGACAAAGCCCAATTTGCGAATTCATATCGCTTAGCTTTGTGATTTGCTAAGAGCTGGTGGACTGATTGCAACATATAGGGGTGCAATTTTAAAACACTGTGAAGGAAGCGGAATACCGATGTTTTCGGTACACCAGAGTTCCGTCCCACTTCTCGTGCGCTACTTACTGCACTCAACGATTGTTTCCTTAGAGTGGCAATCTGTGAAACCACATCGGAAGAACGGATCTCTGATAAACTTGAAATATGCTAATGGCGCACCATTACGAAGGCTATGACACAGATTTCCTGTTTCTTCGAAACGTCGTACTAAAGAAATCAGCCCGGCAAGTGTGATTAGACCAAAACCTTTCTTCTATGCCTTCTGTGTCCGAAACCTTCGTAACGCTTCAGTCGGCGATCCTTGACCGGGTTAAAACAACTTCACTAATAACGCTTTATTTAATAACGTCAGTATCACAATTAAAACTTTATGTACGAAGAAGTAGGGTCAAAAAGGAGAAATGACTTGTTTATCGTAAAACCTGCAATTTATAGGACTCTGATTTACATATTTCTTGTTACTGCATCTGTGCGGTGTCCTCTGTCAACGAAAATTTTAACCATTTCTTCTTTATATATATTCAATTTTTTATTAACTTTTAATATATTTGCAGACTTATGGGGCACACTGTATATATTTCCACCCTTTACCCCATTCGATGAGCTAAGTATTTTTATTCCTATATGTTGGTAAATTGGGCATTTTTGCTTTAAAAGTGGTTAAATTATATTGTTTTAATATTTCGGTTAAGTTTTGTGTGCCTTTACTTAATATGCATGAAATAGTTGTAGAATTATCAAAATTTTAAAAGTAGCTCTCGGCATAAGGAGCTCGTAATTTTCAGCAAAGGTTCAGATCATTCATTTGTTTATATTTGAAACTGTTAGCAGAATAGGGATTTAAGTCAGTTGGTGCACCAACTTCAGTGTCTTTTTGCCCAATGTGACCGAAATTCTTTGACAATGAAGAAAATGTGATAAACGTTTATTTTAGTCGCAACATTTCTTTTAACTGTTTTTAATTTTATTTTGTGTTTTAGGTTTTTCTATACTTTACAATTTTTAATGAAGATGTTTCGAGTTTGTAAGTATTTTTGCAATGCAGCAAAAATATGTTTAATAAGCCGTACGATGAATATGGTATCCAGATCAGATATTTCGATACTATAACTAAATATCTTTAAACTATACAATATGTTTGCCAACATTTTGATCTCTTAAATTACCTATCGATTGCTTCGCTGAATAGACATAGTTGAGACAGAAATACAGTGTAAACAATAGTTTTCGTTATATTCAGTTTATTAATATATTCATACTTAACTATTACTTCCTAATCACCCAAATTTTAAAGTTTTTTAGTTATAAATATTCACTATTTCTTTTCGTACAGACTCACAAATGTGCATTTTCATGTTACTCTGCTACTTCAGTTACTTACAGTTTTAACTGGCCATTAATAATTAAAATTACGTTGTTAGAAATAATTTTATGTTCCAAATATCTATTCGTCGTAAAAATTTATTCCTTATGCCACGCTTCTTATATGCTATGCTTTAATGAAGAATATTTCATGTCACAACGAAACGTTTCACTTTATTTATAGTTTTTTTTATGAAAAATAGCATATGATATGATATATCTCATGGTCTAATTTTTAAAGTATGCATATTTCCCAACGCAGATATAAAACTTTAAGTAGGCAGATAACAGAAAGTAATTGCCGTTTTATTTATACGGGGAACGTAATTCAAGCTACTGATTTTATGGCTACTAAAATTGGAGCTAAAGTGTATTTTATTGATTTAGTGAGATGTTGCATTTTGGGCAAAGGATATTTAAGCAACATAGACTATGTTTCTTTGATTTAAAGAATATACGTGTGAAGTCAAAAACACGTTATATGCCAGGTTTCTGATCTCTAACTTCGCTGTTTCCTTTTATCAATTTTGGATAGTTTTCAATTTTATGAAAACTCAACGCAAACAAAATTCCAGAGATATCAAAAACAATATGTCGGCAAAATTTTGACAAATTCAAAAAGCGCTATTTGTAGGAACGCATAAGGCTCTGTACGCGAATTTCGATGGTTTCACTTCGAAGAGAATTGGATCTGAAAATTTGACTACAAATATCTTCCCCGAACTTCTTGAACATAGGAAGATTCATAATGACATTCATTCCAATTGTTTTCCTACACACTGCAGATGGAACTCTATTGTAATGAATATTTAGTTTAGTTCAAGTTCTGTAACGAAGTTCGTAATTATATATATGGGTCCATTCTTTTGTATTCCACTTACAGTATAGGAGGAGTTAAGTAAATTCATTTCTGATCTAATCTAAAGTCTGTACGACTTTATTATGCTTGAAAATTAAGTTTGAAAATCCTATTTCAGATTGACGAAACTTTTGCAAATGAAGTTTGCTTTCGATGCATTTAATGAATGTGTTTATTTGAGCAAAGGTTCAGAGTTGAACAAAAATTCAGATGGCATGTCTTCCAATTTTCACAGTCAGGATCACGATAAATGTTTGCCTACATAACAAATTAATATGCAATATGTTTTAAATGGCATGGAATGCCAGAAGACCTAACCTACAAATAATACGTAGAATCTGCATAGAAAATAAATAAATAAATGAATGAATCAAAATGCAAAACGAAGTAATATTTTTTGCACGTAGTGTGAAGTTTATGGTTCAGCAAACATTCAGTATTTAATTAATACCTATAAGTAATTTATGAACGATATTTCGATTATTTCATTTTATGATTGCTTTATATTCATAACAACGCTTGTTAATTTAAACTTCAGAAACAAGTTGCTCCTTATATTTACAAAAATAATATTAACGTTATTTTTTGTCAAATTTTTGTTGTTCGAGTAGCGTTTTAACTGACTGGAAAAAAAGTTAACTGTGAAAACATACTTCAGTTTAGAAAGTTCACGAATGATTTTAGTTCACATGTCTTAGTTCAAGATTCTCTCTCAATAAAATAAATATAACTATTAAAAATAATAATTTTAATATTATATAATAATAGCATAATATAATGATTTATTTAATAATATAATGCATAACATAATGATTTAATCAATAATATAATGATAATAACATAATATAATCATTATGATGATTTAATATTATATAATGATAGCCTAATGTAATTAGACTTATTACGTGCTCCGCTCTTAGGCACTATACGGAATTGGAAGGATGCTCCATAAAGGTCCTTTTTTAAGAAAAACTGGTTCGTATCCAAATGGGGAAAACCACGAAAACGCCCATGCAGCCAAACCCTTTGCCTGGACTCAAACCCCGGACCAAACTACCAGTTTTCAGCGGCTTTTACCGCTCAACCGCTGGTGGGCGATAAATTAATAAACAGCCACAATTTAGAAAGTGTTTGCAAATATTTAGAATTGTTTGGCATCAAGAATAATGCATAGATTAATCTCAGAATATAAAATTCCAAATTCCTACAGAGTTCCAATGTTAACTGGAAATCCTACAACAAACGATAAATGATTGTTAAATATAACAACTGATATATTTCAGAAGTCAAACAACAAAAATCAGCGTTATATTTTCAAATGTGTTGAAATATATTTTGAAATTTGAAAATATAACGCTGATTTTTGTTATTTGACTTCTGAATTAGTATTTGTTCAGCGTGTTATTGTGTCTTAACTGATATAGTGTTACCGAATGATATTCATAATGAAAGTGGAGTTTTCGTGTTCAGCTGTATGGTCATTTAAAAGGCTGGATTTCATTTGTCCAAGCAAAACAGGCTTCCAATATAAAGACTGAAACTAAGATTAATATAAATTTCAGTATCACTTCTGCTCCTCGCAAACTTAATGATTTTACGTTTCATCATGTATTTCAACACTCTCCTACCTAGTTTTTTTTTTACTTCACGACTGCCAAGCTAAAATCGAAATTGAAAGCTTCAATAGAACTCTTAATTTGATTCATTAGAGATGATATACCCAAATTAAAAATGAAGAATTAATACGCTATTACTAAGTTAAATTGTAAAAATACTTTTATATTTTTTATCTTACATATATTATATATCATTTTAATGGGTGATACACTTTTTAAAAAAATTCACAAAAATTACGCTAACCTTCTATCGCAAAGGCTGTATTTACAATAACTGAAGAAAAGAGGACAGCTGCAGGGAACATAATGTCATTTCCTGGAATTAAAAAAAATATGACTTAGCATAAGAAAACAATATTTTCATATTCCTTCTAATTTAAAATTATCATATGCATAACATTGGAAAACCTAGTTTCCTTGTAATTTAAAATTATATATACATAAGATTGAAAACTCTAGGTAGTTAACATTTCTTTCAATAGAAAATAACAAATATATCAGTGATAGGATATTTTTATGCCAATTAAATATTATTTTTAGCAAGGTAAATTTGAAAACTTGGAATGGTCCGTAGAAAATATCTACAGTAAACCTCGCTTAACTGAGAAGATTAAGGGAAAAAAGCACTGAATTATCAAATCCAGAAACTGGTGACATCCAACTATTTTGTTATTTCATTCCAAACATATATACTCAACGATATATACTGTAAGCCTTACTAAAGCCTTGGAAAATTTATTGTATCCAAAGAAACAAACACTTCACTGTTCTGGAAAGTTTCACCAAAAATATTGGCACAGCTCCTCACAAAACACAATCAGTAATTATACACTTCAAACAACTATGAACATTAAACGCTAGGGAATGCAAGCCGAAGTCTCTCCAAAATCGCTCTGAGCTAATAAATGACAGATACGACTGAGGAATCGATGCTCTAGTCAGTCTTATATGGTTTTGACCTGGCCGCCGAGATGATTCTAGTACTTTCTGCTTCTCGAATGTACTGGAAGGTATATAATAGCCTAATTACGGTTGCAGCTACATAGACCGTCAATTATAGTTATTCCATTATAATACCCGTTATAGATATACATGTACGAATCAAAATGTAACCAAATGGTCGCCAAGTTTGTATAGCATATGCACATCTGTATGTGCGCGTGTTTTTGTGAACTATATGTATATATATGTGTGTGTATAATACGGCACACGCTTTTGCTTAATATTTAGGCATTCATTTCTAATTTAAATCAAAGAAAATGGTATTGTGTTTAAAAGTTTCTGTCGGTCTTTAACTGCAGACGATAAACTGAGAGTTTATGAGAAATATACAGCGTGTTTCAAAAAGAATAAACGTATTTCGAATGAATATATGTGGACATTCGATCTTACAACGTATCCACCTTTCACCTTCCTGCACCTGGCAACCGCATCAGCAGCTAGATGATTCTCGAAGCTGTGTGATATGTTAACTTCTCCACTTCTGTCTTTTGAGCTTTATTATTAAGCATGGCTTCTTTCGCATTTACGTCATGTGCAATCCAAGAGCAAACTCGCAAAAGTTTTAAAAAGCCGCGTACTAACATATATTTAGAATTCCCTATGCGGTGTTAAGTTGTTGGTATACATTTTTTTTTTTTTTTTTTTTTTTCTATTTTGTTTATCATATCAATGTTCAGTTTTCTTAGTAAGATGGCTTACAAAACATTTTTTTTTTTTTTATAAACGCTCTGTGTGTTAATTTTATTTCAAAAAATATTTAAAACCGGCATATGTTTAGAATTTTCAATAGACAGTGTCGTGCGCTAGAAATAAAAGTGTTTTATTTCTCACGGTGTTGCTACTGCTCGATTTCAAATAATTGAGTTTGTTAATAAAAAATTCTTTAATTTTTTAAGAAATTTTAAATAAACGTCAAAAAGTATACCGTCTCATTCTATGAAAATATTTAATATTCATAATTAAATGAGTTGTTCATTAAATGCGTTTTTATCCCAAAATGGGAATTTTGCCCAGAAGAGCTATTAATTTCGTTTTGGCATTTTGCATTTCGGCAAAGGCGTTTCAGTTTATAAAAATACTAATATAAAACGGCGTTTCAATTTTCAAATTCTTGCTACCAAATATTACAGCCCTCCATTATAGTTAAAGAAATTAAATATTGACGAATCTGCATAAATGTATGTATGTTTCTCGCATTGAGAGAAAACAACGGTACCTAGAGATATCAAGTTTTGAAGAATGTAGTCCTTCATTCGAAATGAGCATCTGGAAGCATAAATATAGAATTTATTTTATTTTCAATTCCATATATCGTAAAATGTTAATGAACTTTTATTAACGAACTCAACTACTTCAAAGCGAGCAATGGCAACACTGTACGGGGGAAAAATATCTCCAGCGCGAGATCACGTATCGAAAATTTTAAGGATATGCTCTTTAAAAATATTTTGTATTACTGTCGAATTGAATTTTATAGTTTAAGTGCGAAAAACGGTATTTAATAAATTAAGGTAACACGCAAAACGTTAAAAAACACTCCTTTGGGGGCAATATAAAATCTTAAAGCTTTCAGACTTTAAAAAAAAATTAAGTTTGAAAATGTTTAAACATCGTAATAGCTACAGTGGCTCGTACTTCATTTTAGACATTTTTTGGTATTTATTAATATTTAAATCAATCTGAAATTAAGAAGCAGATATTCTTAAGAACTGCATACATTGCTTTCAGATTAGTTAGTTTGTCAATCCGTAACTGACATATTCAGTTTGAATAATGAATTTCTTACATTTTGCCGAATGGCAACAGATTCGTATAAAAAGTTAAACGACGTATTTATAGTGATTTAACGCAAAATCCATTTCGAGTAAAATTCCTTTTGTGTAAAAAAATATTTTTCACTGTCGAAATGGCAACAGGATATGGTACTCTATGGATAGTGCGAATAATCAAATTAGTGATCTATTTTAAGATGGATTATTGTAAGCCATTAATACTTTTGTCTGTGTAAAAGTTCAAATTTATTATGTGTTAAAGGGTATCAAAAATGTAATTTTGTTTAGAGAACAACTTTAAATTGTATTATTGTATTATTACAAATAAACACTTCATATAAAACATCCTATTTCCTAACGACCTGCATTAATGGTGTACTTATGCCAAAGTTATAAATTATTCCTTTTCATATTGATATAAATAGGTTTTTTACTACCATGAAACATATTTACGTTACTTGTCATTAGCTTCGATAGTGTTTCTAATTTTAAATAAATATGGAAGTTTTACTCTGCAATTATAGAACTGTATATGAAAATCGCTCAGCTCCACTGTGAAATATGTCGGAGTGAAATAGAATAAAATATTGTATATTGGTGTTTTTTTAAAAGGATTACTATTTTGTGTAAAGTATTTTAAAGTTTGGTGCATTATGTTCCTGCAGCGATTTCAAATCTTCCATCTTATCTTTTATTGACGTTGACAGTGTTATTTAATTTTTGGAGGGCTTATTCTACGTATGATATCATATTTTATCTTATTTTCTCAGTCATTCGAAGAAAAAAGGTATTAACTTTCATTTTTATTTTGATAAAGGAGAACATGAAAACATTTTGAACTGATAAAAACTCCACTTGAAAGCTTTTAGCTAGACGTATAGAGTTTCTATTAAAACATGCATTTTGTGTTTTCAAGTTTCTCATATTCTCTCTTCTCTGTCAGTTGTTCACGACAAACTATTTATAGAATTGGTCGCTGGTAAATACTTATACATACACCCACACTACTCGTTTTTTTCCACTTTAAAATCAAAATTTAATATTGAAAAAAATTTACATATGATTTCGATTCAAGGACTTAAAATACCTTTTATCAAATTATTAAAATTAAAATTGTAGCGATGAAAGTTCCTTTCTTATATAATATTTTTTTCTTCTTTGTGTCTGAACGATAACATATTTCTGAAACCATAATTAAGTTTGAAATTTTCAATTTATAATTTCAAGAGAAGCAAAATTCCTTATCTCCAAGAGATACAGAAGATAAAAAATTTTCTTAAATAATTCATTTTCTTGACTGTAATACGAATAAGCAAACCAGATTTTGAGCATTTTATTTTCTACTTGAGGGATAATCTTTAAGATATTCTCCCCTCCAATTTGTATAAGAATTTGTAATGTTTTACTTGATCTGTTAATGCTAATTAGTCCCAAAAAAGAAACAGACCTGGAGCGAACTATCGCTATGTCTGGAGCAACTGCAATGTTGTTAAAAGGTTTACTCTTTTTATTTAAACAGAATGTAGAACAAAAGCACGTTATACAACTAAACAGAACAAATTTACGTGGAATAGTAGTCAATGACTACACAATCAAATATTACTATCAGCAAACTCAATAACTCTACCGGAGCGTCAAAATCTAAATGTCGGCAGCGATAGTACACAAAATCGAACAGATACAACTATAAGAGCCGGTAGGAAATTAACACGTAGCGTGTACGTGAAACCAGAAACACTCTGTCTTAAAATCCCAAAAACCTTAGTTTAAATACTGGCTAACTCATTTACATTCTGGTGAGGAATGCGGAAAGGAGAAGCTATGATAAATATTGGAATAGATAATCATAATAACTGATTAATTTAAATAATTACCTTACAAATTTTGTTAGTAATTTCGAATCATGGGAAGTAAAGAATCATTTATTATTTATAATTTATCAGTTAGTTTGAACTAGAATATCCGAGTTTCATCTAATGTTCTTAGTCCGAAACTTCTAATCCTTGCATTTGCCAGCCTTGTTTTTCAGTTTACTAGTTTTGAGCATTTTCCGAAACGCTTTAACAGTGAAAGAATATTTTAAATAGTGTCAACTCTTACTTAATATAGACTTTTGTTGTTGCTTCTTGAGACAAAAAGCATAAAATATTTAGCAAACTTCAGTAAGTTATGTATTTCGAATCCTCGCTTAGTGTATTATATGTCATATATATAAAAGGCATCTGGATTTGAATCACCTACTGCGATGGTCTTTCCCTTTTACGTATCTGCATTGAAGATGTTAATACATCCTAAATGTATTAAAAGAGCATGTAATCAAAGTATTAATTTAATACATAACCGAAGGCCTAGATTTTCTAAATTTGAGCTTTCACTATGCTTTTCAGTTGCATTCATTTCCCAAGAATGAGTCCCAAAGGGTCTCTAAGGCCCTTTGCTGAATCTTCATTAGCTCTCTCAGTTAGTCTAGCAAGGTCTTTGGCAATCAGAACCGACAAGAGATAGCAGAATCGAATTCCACGCTTGGGCATTGGAAATAAAG